AAAAAAAATTCATTACACAACCTCCTTTTTATTGGCCCTAAACACTCAATAACAGAACCTGACTTGCCATTTTATAATTAAACAGTCAAAAAAATAAAAAATAAAAAATAAAACCCTAAGGACCACCACTCAAAATTGGAGTGATGGAAATAAAATTGGCTACCCATGAGAATTGATTCGGATCTTTTACATTTGGCTACAATGATCACGTATTAAAAACAGTGGATTCAACTACACAGATCACAAATTTCTTTCAATTGACAAAAAGGAAGAATCTTTCATCATACCCACGATTGATTTGTATAGTCATCAAGATCTTTGATCATTTGCAGAAAAGAACATCATCAACACACTAAAACCCTTAACTGATCATGAACTCACAAAATTAAATCAAAAGAAGATTAATCAGCATGAATTACTAGCAAAAGAAGTGAACCTGGGCGGAAACAATAAAGAAAATCCAAAACGGTGAAGCTAATGTTCTTATACTCCATAGTCTCCACATTAAACACTGTAAAAGAAGGTAAAACAGAAAGATCATTAGTGATCAAACAACATATAAACAAATAAATGTATTATTTGTAATGACAGATAGAGAACATACAAATTGTGGGAATAGTAGTCACAATCTCTTCAAGCTTGAGCTTATACAGAATGGTCGTCTCACGAACAGCATCAGGACCCTAAAAAGCCTTAAGGATAACCATACAGTCTAGAGGAGAGAAGGATATAAAAAGGAACCAACTGGTGCTGGGCTGGAGGCTCCACCTGAGTTAAGTGGTAAGAGATCAATGGCGCGAGTTAAAGGCATTGGCCTTGTTGCCCTGATCAACGGCGTGGATCAAAGCCCAATTGTCCCTCATCGGTTAATATCCCCAAAAATCCACTATTTACAGTAATAAACCAGGCACGGGTCCCAAAACTTGATCCGAACCGCTGGATCTTTCCACCAAGACCCACAATTAACAGGAGATGCCTTGAAGAGAGTGAAGACGTACGGAAATAGCCAGTGGCTCGGAGTTGAGGAAGAAAGGAAGGTGGGAAAATGGCAAAAACCCTACTTAAACCCCCAAATTTACTGCAAAATAGTATTTATGCCCCTAAACTAAAACAAAGCAAATAAACCCTCCAACTCCACTAATGATGCAAATAAACCCTTCTCACAAACGGGCAATATATATTATAGAACATTTTGTCTCTACTTCAAAAACCTTTTTTCTTTTTCCTTTTATAAAACCTTAAGTTAGTTTTTTTAACATGAAAAGTTTTGAGAAAAAGATAAGTTTATAAGTAATTGGTGGGAGTTAAACCCCCAATCACTTAAACCCAAACTCTTAAATTTAATGGTGAACTATAGGTATTTTGAGTTAGCTCTTGGCTACCTCCCTTCATGCTGGATGTTGGTTTTGTTATTTTATTTATGTTGGATTAATTTTTACTTATATTTGGAACAAGTATGTTGTTTTATATTGGATTAATCTATATTTATATTTGGAACAGCTTATGTTTGGAATAACTTATGTTTGATTAATCTTTATTTATGTTTGGAACAAGTTTATTGATTTAGTTGTTTATGTTAAATTAATCTTTATTTATGTTTGATGTAAAAATTATATATTTAGATATTAATTGGTGGGAAATGGGAATCCTCGCGAGGATCCCCATTCCTTGCCAAAAATGGGGATGGGGTGGGGCAAAATTTTCCCCTAGTCAAAAATCACCGCGGGGATCCTCATCTCTGCCATTCGCAAGGACAAGGACTCTCCAGCCTCGCAGAACCTTGTTGACATCCCTAATTCTCTAATACGTATTTTTACTGACCTCCCTAATAAATGGCCTTGGCTTCTCTCCTCTCATCTCCTCTCACATCACTTCCCCTATATATTAATTAAACCTCTTCCACCCTTTTGATTTTCGTCACCTCAGTTTCCACTCTTTTTTCACCAACCAAGCAACAATAGCTGCTGCATTAATGCCTCAAGAACCTTTGTTCTTCAATGCTTCGGTTACTAATCAATTTGAATCCAACAATATACCTTCATAGTTCATATGGCTCACAAATGGACTAAACAATATTTTATGTTTAATATCATCTTGAAAGCATGAATATCCATGAATGAAAAGGGTTTATTTGCATCATTAGTAGAGTTGGAGGGTTTATCTGCTTTATTTATAATTTAGAAGTTTAAATGCTATTTTAGGATAAATTTGATGGGTTAAGAAGGGTTTTTGCCTGAGAAAATTGGAAAAGGTGGAGGAAACTGGTACATGACAAAGTTTTAAAGATGTGGTTTTGATTTGTTAAATGTGGATGAGTTCAGAACTGAACACGTGGTAGAAACATGATCCTTATAAGATCCAAATCTAGTGTACTGCAGTCAGTCTTGATGAGTTAAATTTATATACATATTAATGTGAAATTTTTACCTTGATATTATTAATATTTGGATGAGTTTTATGAGTTTTATGAGATTTTACTTTATTTTACACAATTTTAATTGTCTGTGTAGGAAAGGACTTTATTCAAAGAAATCATAACTTTTAAGAGTAAATTGCAGAAATCAGAAACTTGAGGATCAACTTGTGCAGAATCCAGAAGTCAGGCACCAGGACTGTTACTTACCATTACAGAAATAGCTAAGGCCAGGAATCCGACACGGTGACATTGTGCGCTGAACAGAAGTGTCGGCACCTTGTTAAAGGTGTTGACCCTGCACGTAATTTTTATTAATTTATTATTTTGAGTGTGGATCACATTTCTATTCCAATTAGGGTTTCTTAAACCTATAAATACCAATTCAAATTCAGAATTAAAGGGAAAGCTTTGGGAGGTTAGTGATACCCCTTTTTTGGGTATTATTGAATATCAATATAGAGATTTTATCAACAATAGAAGATCAATGAGTCTAATTCTTTCAAATTGGGTTTTGTTTTTCCTTGTATTCTTTTTATCTATTATTTAATATTTGAATGTTCATAATTATGATTTCAAGTTTTATTATTTTTATTATGAATTAATTTAGTTAATTAAGGTTAAGATGTAGCCTAATCAATTCAATATGAGTTTTTATGATTTTTACACATTTGAAATTGCTATTTCATGATAAATATATATTATTATTTTTAATGCTTTTTAATGCTTGATCACCATTAAAACTAATTTGGAGAGCATAATTGAAACCGAGATGAGATTTTATGCAATAACTTCTAATAA